CCTCTGTTGTCAATAATAAGGAATAGTGGATCGGTAAAGGGAATTCAGATAGAATCCATAGAACATAAAGTAGCGGCCTTTGCAGACGACTTATTGTTCTATGTGGGGAATCCCCGAATAACTCTCCCAAATATAATGAAGATTCTGAAGGAGTACGGTGAACTATCAAATTTAAAAATTAATCCAACGAAAACAGAGATCCTGAATATCAATATACCAAAGAATGAAAAAGAAAAACTACAAAAAGAATTTCCCCTTATATATGGAGAGAAAAGGAGATAAAATACCTAGGAATAAAACTCACTGCCTCATCTAAGCATTTGTATAGATTAAACTATATCTCTTTGATAAATGAGATCAGGGAAGATTTAAAAAGACTAGAAGGAGGAAATCCATCTTGGATAGGACGTATAAACCTAGTCAAAATGGTAATTATGCCTAAAATACTGTATAGATTTCAAATGGTACCAATTAAAATCCCAGAGGCCTTCTTTAAGATAATGAAAAAAAAATGTTAACAAGATACATATGGAAGAATAAAAAACCTAGAATAGCATATGAAACATTGAGTAGGACTAAAGAGAAAGGGGGATTGGGTCTGCCAGATGTCAAGAGATACTATAAAGCAGTGGTTTTAGCAAGAATATATGACTGGACATTTAATCACAAGGGGAAAAGTTGGGTAACAATTGAAAATGATCTTAGTGGCATTAGATTGAGTCAGATGATATGGGTTCCACCACAGTTCAGGGGAATTAAAGAAAGCACAAGTATCTATACTCTAAATGTTTTTTAGGGTATGGGACAATCTACACAAAAATATGAAATGGGAATTTAATTCTATATTAATGCCTCTCACAAATACTGAGTACTTTCCTCCGGGAAAGAATAAGATATCAGGGAGATGGTTTAGAAAGGAGGATACCCAACTGAGAGATGTTCTGGTGGAGGGGGAATTGAGACCACTTAAAGATTTAATAGAGAAGAAGGGAGATATTTTTATTAGAATAGATGAGTGGAAATATCATCAGTTGAAATGTTTTATTGGAATTCTACCGAAACCCCTGAGAATAAAACAGGAGTGGAATATGTTTGAAAGGTTGTTAGAGACACGAAGGGATGGGAAGCACGGTATTTCAAAAGTGTACAGAATACTCACAGAATTAGTCACAAACACAAAATTAATTTTTATCACTAAATGGGAAAGGGACATGGGAGTTGGGTTTGACGAAGATAGACAGAGAAAGATGTTTAGATTGATACACGATAATGTTAGTATGAGAGAGGTTGAGGTTAATTATAAGTGTGTGACACGATGGCACATTACACCGAGTGTAGAGCACAAGATGAATGGGGAAAACTCAAATATGTGTTGGAGAGGATGTGGAGAGATTGGCACGGTGATTCACATATGGTGGGAATGTCCGAAAATCCAGGCTTTTTGGAAGATAATAGTCAAATTGATTAAAGAAATAACTGAAATTGACATAGGGTTAGACCCAACGACGTGCCTCCTACACAATGTGGAGACATCTGTAAATAAATATAAAGATTCAGGTATTTGGTACTTCTTGAATGCGGCGAAGGGGTTGATACCCAAGTTTTGGCGGAAAGTTGAGGTACCGAATGAGGAAGACTGGATCAATAGAGTAAACCAGATAAGTAAAATGGAAAGAACATACCATATGCAGGAAGATAGGATGAGAGTTTATTTTAGGAGATGGGAAAAGTGGGAAAGAGCAGGATTGAAAGAGAAATATAGGAAAATTTGAACTAGGATGTTAGCAAAAAATCAACAAGCCTCAAGAGATCAGATTGGGTTAGAGTCTGCAGAGGGGGAGGAGGGGGGATGTGGGGTGGAAAGGGGGGGTAGTGGGATGGGAAAGAAAAGAGTTTTTAGCAAGGGAAAGGTAGAAATGTTATAAATGTCTATTTGTATGAGAATTATTTCCCTTGTTGGGTTTGTTTTTTTTGTATTAACATGAAAAATTTAATAAATGCTTAAATTATAAAAAAAAAAAAGAGAAAATACCACAAGAACATTTGAGCAGAAGGGAAAATACCCCAACAAAATTCATTCAAAAAAGAAAATATCCTTGGAAACATTTAAACAGAAGGGAAAATACCACAAGAACATTTGAGCAGAAGGGAAAATACCCCAACAAAATTCAATCAGAAAAGAAAATAACCTCGGAAACATTCAAACAGAAGGGAAAATACCACAAGAAAATTCAACAAAAACATTAAATCAGACAAGAAAATACTTCACAAACCTCACGTGGCTGGGTACATCTATGGAGTGGACTTGAAGGGAGAGACCGTCTGAGGGAAGACGATTGCTAAAGTGTTTCCTATGCTTTCACATGTGACTGCTGCGGACCGTCCACTAAATGTAAGTGACCATATACTGTCAAGTGACTCCGAGATGTATGTCGATATGATGTGCCATTTTCCAAGTACCACGAATAAAGTGCGGCAACTTGTTTACATGTGGGCCTTCCTTCACTTTGGGATTTAAAGATCAATGGCCAGGAATGTCGTGTTGAGGCCTCTGGCATGGAGTAGGGCACAATATGGAGTTTCAGCAGGAGGTTTTGTGTTCTACAAAGGACAGGAATGGGGAGGGACTTGCACTTTGGTGCCAACATCCAGCCAGTCACAGAGCCCCTCTTACAAGGTGGCACTGGTTTTCAGTGGGCGGTCAGGGGATGGTAAAACTGTGGCTCCTGAGCTGCGCACTTGTATTTCAATAAATTAAAGTGGCATTCCCATGAATTTCTACAGCCCCCCCCCAAACAAAACTACCAGATCCCTGGTGTCAAAAAATCAACCTACTGTGACAGGAGAAAGAGAATGCACAGAGAGAAACCATTAGAGTTTAGTAGCTTTATGACCGCCACGTGACTTCAGAGTATCAGCTTCATGTTTCCAGTAATAGGATTATAGGAAATAAGGCAGCAGCATAATGGTTCAGCAGTTTTATGATCCTTCAGCACATCAATGAGAGTACACAGCACTAGCTCCATGTTCCTGGAAACAGGGGATTAGAAGAAGGAACGCACAGCTAGTAGCAATGGTGGTTCAGCGGTTTCAGCAGCTTTTAGGTTCGGAGTCGTCACGACTGCAGCGTCATCATGTTAAAAACAAGATCTAAAACACGGGAACAATAGCTGACCAATGCAAGCCCCCCTCCCCCCAGGTTCTAACCTCAACCCAACCCACATAAAGATCTATGAAATAAAAAAAAATCAAAAATAAATCTTATCCTGAATGTTATCATTCGAATCATTTTTACTTAACCTCCCTAGCGGTCTGATTATGTCCATATTTCTGTGCTCAAGGCGGTACATTTTTTTGCATGGAAATATGTTGTTTTTTATTGTAGGCTGTAATTCTTAGGAATAACTCACTGACATCTGTCCGAACAAGAGTCTAGTAAACATCCCGGGTATGATAAAATTTAAAACACAAAATCATAAATTATAATATAATAAATAATCATAAAAAATAATAATATAATAATACATTTAACTCAATAATATAATCAAACCAAAAACACTGAAATTTGAAATATAGCGCCAAGTTCGCACATCGCTGAGCAAAGTCGCAGAATCGTTTTCAGTGTCTGATGACGAATTTCCCCACGAATCACTATCACTCAATTCTGCAAGTGGTTCTAATTTACTATCGCTGTTCTCTAGCCGGTCTAAAACCGCTTTTGACCTAAAGGGATGCTTTTTGGACACCATGGACGTTTCTCAGTTTCCAGGCAGAAAGAACAGTAAAAATGCAGGCAGGGCACAGGAGGACAAAGCACTCGGGACAAAATGTATGTGAAATGGTTTGATACAGTAATGTTTTACTATGTGATTTTAGTGAATTTAGTGAATGTCACTTCTAAAATTTTCAAAATTCCTGCCAGTTACGTCCCCCGTACATCCCGACGTCGCAGGGAATGGAACCCGGAAAACAGATGCCGGCATCGGCCGGAGGACTTTACCCCGAGCTACACTCGGGAATACCTCCAGGGAGGTTAATAATTACTTATTATGCAATATAATTATATATATATATACAGTGCTTTATATAGACCAACTCATCCCTCATGAATCGTATAAAGAACCACAGAGAAAACAAATGGGACTTTACTGGTACAGAAAACGGACAACCTCATGTTATTGAATAAAATTATATCTACAGTATATATATATATATATATATATATATTTTTTTATTTTTTATTTTTTTTTTTTTAAATATATTGAATATGGCCAAAATTGTAGTACTTCTACTATATGTCAATATACTTGGGAAGTATATTTTAAAAATATATTCCAAATATATTTTTCTTCCATATGGGCCGCCCCTTTCACTCATTGGATTTCAGTTCTTTCAATCATGCAGGCTCACAGCATCACATTGCATTACTTAATGCAGCCACCCATCAAGGCATTTTATATTTTATATATATATATATATATATATGCAATAATACTGGATGACAGAGAAAAGAGGAATTAAAAAAAAATACTTCTGCAGCAACAACATTTAAGAGCCAGTAGACTGTAGACTATAATACATTTTTGTTGTTCTGTTGAATACTACTTTAATTCTATAAAAGTTAAATATTGCATTCTAAAACCTGTGATATTAAAGTAGAAGTCCAGTCACAAATGAAACTCAAACCTGCACCCATCACCTGCTCCCATTCTATACCCTTGGCGCTCTGGTCCAGTCACATGATCAGCTTCCAATTCCTGCTTCAGTGTAGAGTAGGGACAGCCAAGAATTGATGCCCCCCATAGTAAGCCTATGGGTTGACATCACAGCATAGTCATTGGAGAATCGGAAAGGATAACCCAATAGCTTGGCCCCAAGGGATTAGGTGGGACCCATTCCGCCCACATGTATACCAGAGGTTGGTATTCCTAAATTGGGGAATACCTAGAGAGGTCCTGGTAGCTTGTATAGGATGGAGTTGGGAACAGAACATAGATGACCTGACCTGATAAACAACGACCACGACCATAATGGTGGGAAGGTATATACCCTGTAGCAGGGGCGGACTGACAACTCATGGGGCCCCCGGGCAATAGGGGATCATGGGGCCCCTGTGTCCTTGCCCAAACTCAAAAAAGCCTATGAAAAAGGTACCAGGGGAATCTCATGGGGCCCCCTACTGACCCCGGGCCCTCGGGCAGTGCCCGAGTTTCCAAATGGTCAGTTGGTCAAACGTATAGGACTCACCTCTTTTTGCTACCCATGGCCTATCCTTTGAACTGGAACCTGGCTCAGCTGGGGAAGAATGCGGGGTGAAGTGTTGGGCTTGGTAAACTACCTTTGTTGTCAAATGTATGCTTATTTTGCTCCTTCTGGCAGCCGGGACTCACACTAACATGTATGCAGGGCAAGGGGCCTGTAAGTGGTACCTGGTAATGAAACATTATGCCCTGCCTACACACCTTTTGGAGCTGTAAACCCCTAGTGGGTCCCAACAGGGCTGTGGATAAGGGGGTACCACCAGTCCTCCTGTACAGGGCCCATACCTGCAGGGGGGGCCCAGGCAGCTCGGAACAGGGGATCGGTTCCAGTAATTGGCCCTCTGGTGCACCTATCACCCTCCCTGTGCATCATACAGTTCCCCCAGCTGCCCAGGCCCCCCCGTGTGCCCCCAACCCCGCAGTGCTGCTGGCTCCCTCCTCTCCTTCCCACCAGCAGCAGTGCATAAGATCTTTCAGGACGTAGAGTGGGCGGAGGGCTCGGTAAATATATCACATTTACTAGCCCTTCCTTTTCTGAATGAACACAATGAGTGATTGCTACTGATCCCTCACTGTGTTCATTTACTTAACCCTAGTAAACAGTTTTTTTTTTTTTTTGAGGAGGGGGCCCTGTCAGGTCGTCTGTATGGGGCCCCGTGGTTTCTAACAACAGCCCTGGGTCCCAACCATCAGGTATTGGCCCACTGCCTCCCTCCACCTGGGCCTGCAGCAAGCTGCACGTCCTCTATCATTCCACAATACCTCCCAATTTCCATAGTGCCCTCCTCCAACCTTCCAAAGTGGACTGCAGTGCCTCTGCACCCGCACAGAGTTCCCCCAACCCCCTAAAATGTCCCATCACCCTCTCACAGTGCTCTACAACCTCCCACAGCGTCCCTAAGCCCCCTGCAGTGGCTTCCCAGCCAGCTGCACAGCCTCTAGCCCCCCCTAGTGTCCCCAGTCTCCAACAGCACTTCACACTGCCCCCTGACCTCATTTTTATACAGTTGGGGCCTGGAAGGTTTTTGAAGAATGGGCTTGGCTCTGGTCTTAATAAGGTTGAGGACCAAGTCTCACAAAGAAATACAGCGTGTGTGTTTCTTTGTTTCCCTTCTGCAGAGTTATGCTTCGCTACTTTGCAGCTTGCCCTTAGTGCCTACTGGACTACCCTTACCCCTGCCCACTTGGACCTCATCAATACATACATGGACTGCCACACCATGCACCTGTTATCCCTTTTGAGGACCAGCTCTCCACTTCTAATGTAGTCATTGCTTTATAACTTTCATTGTTGGTCCCCTTTGTGGCTAAGTGAGGTTTTTTCTTTTTTTTTTTTGTTCTCCGCAATGGATGGTAAAGTTTCCTATGTAATGAAAAACGGAGCTGCCATGTAATAATTTTGTCACGTGCCGCAGTCTCTCTTATAATTGCTCTTCTCTACACGCCATCAACTGCCGATGTTCAAATGCTGTCCGGAAAAAGGCAAACCGAGCACTTCAAAGCTGAAGATGAAAAACGTCAACTCTTTCCCTGACTAATTCCTTTTTCATATCGCCTCTTTTGAACTCTGGTGGAACTTTACAACCATGAGTACGTTTGATGGGCAAAAAAGGATAAAAAAAAAAATATTTTGTTGGGTAAAAATGAAAGCTTAAAAAGCAACTCCAGGTAATGAGTAAAAACGGTCAGTAAAGATCAAAACTGCGGAGATCTCCAGCCAAAACGTAATAGATATATTTGAATGGTAAAGGAATAGGTTCAAGTTTATACCTCCCCAACAATGAGCTGCTGATCTTTGGTTAATATGCCATTGAAATAATTTTTTTTAGAAAAAAAATGTTGATCCTGCCAGAAGACTTGTGAACTGATAACTTCCTGGGCATTGCCTGTTATTACTTGTCATTGTTCCCAGCTCTTCTCTGTAGACTACATAAAACCTACCACTTATGTTATGGAGATGAGGTGGTCCTAACACACCTGTCCTAGCATGACAATTCTTAAGGGGTTTTTTTTGGTGGGAATGTGGGGGAATGCAGTTCTGGCACTTCCAGCACTGAGTGTATGTAATGGAAAGGGGTGCTGGGGTGTGCTGGAGGGTCTATTGATACTAGGGGATCCACTGTTGCCAAAGTAGGTCAACTTCAAAGCTGCACAGGTGTGAACCAGGCTTACTGTTTCTTGTACGGATAAAGTGGAATTTCAGCTGAACATTAACTATTCTTAAAAATGTCAAACCTCCCCTCCCCCATCCTCCTGCTACCTAACGTCACATGATCCTGCAGCTCTGGCTCCCATGTGTTATTGAGCTCTGGAAATTCCAGGAATCGTGACATCGCCCATAGGCTCCCATTGCCCTGCTGTTGTCGGTGCTTCCTCCTCTCCCCTGCAGCAGCTGATCACTGACACAGGAGAGAAGGAGCTGCAGGATCACATGAATGGACCAGAGCCGACTGATAAATGATAAGTTTAAAAAAAAGTCTGGTCAAGTGATCCTGTAGCTCTCTGGCTCCCATGTCTTATGGAGTGCTTGACAACATCTGGAAAGTCCAGGAGTCAAGACGTCACCCATAGGCTCCCATTGCCCAGCCATTGTCAGTGCTTTCTCCTCTCCCCTGCAGCAGCTGATCACTGACACAAGAGAGAAGGAGCTGCAGGATCACATGAATGGACCGGAGCAGACTGATAAATGATACATTTAAAAAAAACTGGTCACGTGATCCTGTAGCTCTCTGGCTCCCATGTGTTATGGAGTGCTTGACAACAGCTGGAAAGTCCAGGAGTCGTGACATCACCCACAGGCTCCCATATGTTATGGAGCGCTTGACAACAGCTGGAAATTCCAGGAGTTGTGACATCACCCATAGGCTCCCATTGCCCTGCTGTTGTCGGTACTTCCTCCTCTCCCCTGCAGCAGCTGATCACTGACACAGGAGAGAGGGAGCTGTAGGATCACGTGAACGGATCAGAGCAGAATAATAAATTATACGTTTAAAAAAAGTCTGGTCACGTGATCCTGCAGCTCTGGCTCCCATGTGTTATGAAGTGCTTGACAACAGCTGGAAATTCCAGGAGTCGTGCCATCACCCATAGGCTCCTATTGCCCAGCCGTTGTCGGTGCTTCCTCCTCTCCCCTGCAGCAGCTGCTCACTGACACAGGAGAGAGGAAGCTGCAGGATCACGTGACTGGACTTGGGCAGACTGATAAATAATAAGTATAATAAAAATATATTAAAAATATTTATAGTTAGTGAGTTCCACTTTATTTTAATTTTTTTTATATATCAGTGTTCCCTGACCAACCTTTCTGCTCTCTATCTAAATCAGTATGTGGATTGAGTGAAGCTGGCTGTCATTCAACTTGGAAGAGTGGAGGCACTAAAGTCTGGTTTACAAAAAATGTATTATATTCCAGTAATTATTCTTAAAGCAGTAGTAAACAGCAGCAACAAAAAAAAAAAATGGGCTCCGGGCAATTTAAGTCATAATGTGCTAGTCTGCACTTTATGGCAGTCTTACCTGAAAACGAAGCCCTCCAGCCATGCGTTGTCACCCCTGTAGGTGCCTACATCTTCACCGGACTTACTTCCGGAATGGCTGAAACGCGATGACGTCATGCCTGTGCATGCGTGAAGGAGTCACTGTTTTCCGGACAGGGCTCTGAAGGAACAGCACAGGTATGCGGTTCCTTCAGAGTGCATACGCCGGTGACGTCACTGTCTGCTTCTATAGTAAATATTTCCAAAACAGTGCTTATTTAGGAGATATGTATTGTACCTACAGGTAAAAATCAACCAAGGGAGTTTACTCCCACTCAGGGGCGGACTGACAACTCATGGGACCCCCGGGCAATAGGGGATCATGGGGCCCCTGTGTCCTTGCCCACACTCAAACCACACCCAAAAAAGCCTATGAAAGGTACCAAGGGGCATCTCATGGGGCCCCCTACTGACCCCGGGCCCTCAGGCAATACCCTCGGGCAAATAGTCAGTCCGCCCCTGCTCCCACTTTAACTCAAAAAAGTCCCTTCTATTTCTCTCAGCCTCCACCAAAACCTTTTTTTTTTTTTTTGCTGCTGTGAGGGTGGCTATGTTCATTGTCCATGCTCCCACTGTATGTAGGAATGTAGCCACCCTCTCCATTATGGACTATGGGATTTGTGCACATGATCGCAACTAATGTGAAATGAGGGAGTAAAGGAGAGGCTCGGGAGCTAAAGGACGATACAACCAGGCACAAAAACACAGTAAGATATTATTTAATAAAAATTAGTTTACAGGGCGTTTTTATGACAAAATAAATGAAAAATATTTTTAAAAATACATTTCAAATATACTGTATGTCTTTAAAAATACAAATCTACATTTTTGGAATGGATTTACAAATATATGTAAAAATATATGTTAAAATGACTTTTTTATATGTTAAAAAAAATCTGAAGAATATATTAGAAAGAAAATCTGAAGAATATATTTAAAAAAAAATATTTTCAAAAATATATGTTTTGTTAAATATATTCTTCAGATTTTTTTTAACATATAAAAAAGTCATTTTAACCTATATTTTTACATATATTTGTAAATGATTTCCAAAAGACATACAGTATATTTGAAATTTATTTTTAAAAATATTTTTCATATATTTTGTAATACAAACGCATTTCAACATGCAGTATTTATATATATATATATATATATATATATATATATATATATAAAATACATTTTGAAACATATTGAATATGGCCAAAATTGTAGCATTTCAAATATATGTGAATTTATTTGGGAAGAATATTTTTAAAATACATTTCAAATATATTTTTCTTCCATATGGGAATGCAGTCCAGATGTGTTCTGCAAGTGTGTTTTTGACACTTTCCCT